CCCCCCCCCCCCCCCCACCACGTCCGCTTCCTACGAATTTCAGCTCTTAAAGCGTAAGCTCTGCGTCTCTCCTGCTCTCGCTTCACTCGCTCCAATGATATCTCCATTTCATCGCAATGACACAGACTACTTTCATGGAGTGAAATTATCGCTCTCATCAAAGTGACGATGTCAAAATATATGCTCGGGCATTATTTCATACGGCCGGATCAAGTGTCAGCCTGGAAGCAATAGCCAAGTGCATTAAGCTCCCTACCTCAAAAGCACGATCAATTTCCTTCCTGGTAGAGAGATGCTGAGCCTAGCATTGATAAAATTCTTTTATTCATGGCCAGGATGCCTCGATTCAATGTGAAATCTACACGGCTCTCAGAGTCGACGAGTGACACAGTGAAAAGTGTTTGTTCAAGGTTTTATTGTGTTATATTACTTCGATTTGGCTTACATTAACGCGCTTATATTTAGTTTCAAAAAAAAAAAAAAAAAAATAAAAAAAAATACCCCGATGCATAAGGTACTTACTAATCGTTACCACGAGGTCCATTGAATTTCGACAAAAGCACAAAATATTTAATCCGCTTCTTCGGTATTTCTATTTATTATACATAACGGCACTTTTATGCGTTTGGTTAAAATATTTATACCAATACTATAATCTTACTCGATTTATATATATATATATATATATATATATATATATCGTTATTCCATGTTAATTCATAGTACATTAATAATACTTAAACAATGATCGATAAATGCAATGCAACTCTGCGCTTTAATTGTCGCCTTAAAACGAGAATTTTATGTCAAGTTTAATCGTAGATCTATAGGAACGATAATAATATTGGAGGTGGAAAATGAAAATTGTTTTAATACGCCTAAGGTAGGTAGTATAATGCAAGCTTGGATTGAAAATTTGCCCCGAGAGTGTTGAGATATCGATATTCTCTTGCGGCTTGTGCAAACAATATCTTTTACGACCAGTAAGAATACAATTGTGATTAATAGCTGTTTGAAAAATTTAAATTTACAGCCGATAGCCAAAGAATGGAGGCAATCTCAATTTCAGCGATTCGCTCGATCAAAGTCTACGGTGGACGTGGTCGACGCCTTGTGATTAATCGTGCGTGTCCACTAATAGCCATTTAGTCTGCTTCTCCGATGTTAATTAACGTTCGAGTAAATTGCACCAAATACTTTTCATCAAAACACCGCTCGTAAAATGCTTTGTAAATACAATTGTCAATGTGGGCCGAGTACTTGCTCCGGAGCTAGACATACGTCCGCTACGTAGATTAATATTTGAAAATTAATTATGTTAATGCGTGCAAAGTAATTATCCTTACTTGGACATGCAGCCGCCGTAGATTATAGAATAGAAATGTTGGAAGATTATGTGGCTACGCTCGATGATCGATACTTTTTATGGTTACGTCAATTCGTGGCAAATGGCGGGTCCAGATTAACAAAGTAGATTAAGTGATTTGGAAGAAAAAAATGATGTGTCGTCGGTGGGTGGGCGATGAAGCGAGGGAGTGAGGGAGTGAGGGAGTGAGGGAGCGAGGGATGGATGGAGCGAGGGATGGATGGAGCGAGGGATGGAGTGAGAGGGGGGGAGGCAGGGAGGAGGAGGAGGAGAGGACGAAAGGAAGGAAGGAAGAAAGGAAGGAGGTCTTGAAAAGAGTATATATTATATTAGATTAATTTGTGACGGAGGAGGCGTAGGGCATTGCGAAATAAAGTATTTGGACGTAGGATAACCCTCGGGGATAAATTCGCCGATTGTGCGTTAGATGCAATATCTTGAGAAAACTCTTGCCGTTCGCGCGAATTCTTTAGCTTCGATCGTCTCTTTCCGAGTAAATCGTATCCGCCTGAGGTGGCAAAATCCCGAGACAAAATATCGCTGCTGACGTAATATTTAGCATCTCCTTACATTTTATGATTTTCTTATAATCTTGTTATAGCCATGCGTTATATCATATATCGTTGGCGATAAGTTCGTTTCGTCGACTATTGGCCGTGACCTTTCGCAAATTCGACGAAAAAAAAAGAAAGAAAGATTAATTATTAAGCTGCTTGATAACGGCGAAAGTAATATTGCTTATCATTTATACGATTTTTACGGAGAGAATCAATTACCGATTATTACCTTTAACATTTATCGTTAAATTTTAATGGCGAATCATCGTGAAAAATTACTAAAAATTTTCAACTAAAATTATCAATCAATGAATTAATAAATCAATATCGTCCGATTTCAAAATATCAACACATTATTAAGCGTAAAAATTGCTTGAAATAATCGTGTAACAACATATCGGAATACTAAACGAAAATCCTATCCTATTGCAATTAAGTTTGGTGGGCGTGTTCCACTTGTCTTTCCATTTATTCTCGATTCTATCAATATTTATAAGCGAATACATCTCGATTCAAATGAATTTTTTTTATTCACATCGTCGAACGACCGTCACGACAATATTCTGATACATCGATTGCTTTATTTTGCCATTGAGTTAAGGAACTTGGCAATTTAATCGCCTTAATACCGAGCACGAGCATTTAGCGAATACTTGGTGTGAGAGAAGCGATTGTTGTTTTATCATAACGAATTTATTGACACGTCACTACTTTCATAAAGCCTTTATTTATTCCCATCCCGAACGATTACTCAAAAGGCTCGATTCATATATCGGATAGTTTTTCCACTCGCCAATATTTTAAATTACAATGATATCTAAATTCCCTGCTGTTCTACAAGGCATATAATTTTAATAAATGCCTCGTTCATTTCCGGTAAACTCTCGGACCAATGCTAATAACGAAATAAATATTACAAATTAAAAATTTTAACCGCTTCGATTTGAGAAAGTCATGGGAGAGGATTATCGAAACTAGCACATAAGCGCGCAAACGGCCGTCTCTGATATTTTGCGCGTATCATTTAGACCGCGTATCATTTTCCTAAATCTAAACCGATAACACACCAATAGATTTCACGAGCTCTCTCGTCAGCGGGACGACCACCATGCCAAACCTCATCCGAATATCGGCCTCGCGAAAAGTGCATCGCTTTTTTTTTTTTTTTTTTTTTTTTTTTTTTTTTTTTTGACGCTTTAGAAGGCAAGAGGCTGCGAGACAAAGGCGACAATGGCGGTGATTGTTGTATCTGGAGCGTGGGGTTCGGGCTAATTAAAAATGTCCGGGGCCTACGCGTCTTTTCCTACGCCATTTACCGCTTGGAATCTCCCCCACCCCTCACTCGTGCCCTAGTCAGGCCACTTTCCACGCCGTCACGCGTTTTTTCAGCAATCGATACTCCAAGGGGCGTAGAAGAATTTGGGCGGGATGGGGAGGGGGAGGGGAAGTTGCTGTTTTCGACCGATTATCCGGGAGAATTTGAATACAATATGTCTTGAATTTAATGGGAAAAGCGCTATTGTTTATGAAGCCGACATATTCGTCGAGCTTAGCGTTATAAATCGTAATTATTGCCAATGATGTATGGCTTACGCAATAACGATCATTAATTATCGGTAAATTTGGAACTATCGTTTAACGTAGATTGTAATGACTTTGTGTCGAGAGTCAAAAGGCGCTTTTAACGTTTTTAAGATCAGTTATTACGGAAGAATATGTCGCAGCATCGATGTCGTTAACCACAATAAAACAGTTCTCAAGGTCACTTTATTTCGAGTTTTACTTAATTATACTTTTAAAGTATAATTACGCATATTGTGCGGTTAGCTCGGCGATGACTGCACTGATGTTCGTATGCAGACTCAAACGCATTAGATTTCAATCTACTAATACCACGTGCGTATATATATATATATATATATATATATATATATATATATATATATAAATAAAAAAAAGAAGAAAAAAAAAGGAAAACTTTCATTACAGAATGTAAGCTATTTTAGAACGTACCAACACATCGACTCTGCTTGTTTACCGAAGAAATTTAATTTTAGACCGCCGCACGCGCGTTTCTCAATATTTTTCAATGCACTTCTTACACCACGAGCAATTTTCAGATCCAACACGTCGCGTCGCGAGTGCTTTACGAAGAAGTGGCTGCCACTTTTTTATTTCAACTCGCTGAGACGATGATGCGGCGCGCGCGAACGCAAATCAAATTTAACGTTACTTTATGACGGCCGACCATTTCGAGAAGAGAATAGGGAGGTGAACAGCAATGGCGCAGCGGCCGGCGAATCGATACTTGTTTCTCTCTCTCTCTCTCTCTCTCTCTCTCTCTCTCTCTCTCTCTCTCTCTCTCCCTCTCCCTCTTCCCTCACCACCTCCAGAGTAAAAAAGAAATCCGCACTCACGGCTTTTATCGCGACTCGCGTACTACGGGCCGTCGAGACGGCGGCTCCTAGTAGTGTTAACCTATAAAACAAAAAAAGAATAAAAAAAAATCTCTCTGTTTACGAGGGTTAGGTAGCATTTGGTAGAGACTAGGCTCTTTGACCAATTAGTAAATAATGAATGTCGAGCTCACCAAACCCGCTACCGTGCACGAAACATGTGTCATTTGCCGTTTACTCATTCCTCCTCTACTCACCACTACCGGCTTATTATTACGTAATCGCGGCGTTGCTTTCCCGCGTACACCCCCCCCCCTCCCCTTAATCCGTAATCGCGACTCTGCTGAGCGATGATGGACCTCGTTGTTAGCGCAGCTAATAAGGGGCGGGGGGAGGAGAGGCGTCTGGACTTTGGTCGGTCGCGTCGAGGCGCGTGATTAATAATTGCAAGACTCGGCTTATCTGCCATGGCACGAGATTATAAACCACGGGAGAAAAATAAAAGAAAGGCCTCAGAAGTGAAAGCGATTCTAAGTCCCATTAGTATTTGCTTAATTTCCAGATGCTGCTGCTTCTTCAAGCGAAAGAAAAAGAAAAGTGGCCGACAGAAATGACTGACCGTAACGGTCGGTCTCGGGGGTACCACGGTTCAGTGTACGGGTGTTAATGCCGGGGGCGGAGCAGGAGTTGGAGAAGGTGGAGGAGGAGGAGGTGGTGGAGGTGGAGGAGATGGAGGAGTCGCGCGACCGCTCGGACGCGCAGTCGTCGACGGCCGAGCGGTCGAGCGGAGCTTACGGAGGATGCGGGCCGACGGAACGGCTGTCCCTGGCAGACGTCAGCGGTGCGAGAGGTTAGTAGGAACAGGACCGATTGCGGGCTCGGGAGGGAGAGAAGAGGGTGAGGGCGAGTGTCAGTGCTGTCTGAAAGGAGGAAGGCCTAGTTCCTCCATCCGCGAGGTTCGTCTCGAGCTGCTGCGCCTTTTCGTACGCACCTAACTACGTCATCTCTCGCGCGCCCACGTGGTCTCGTCGCCAACGCGGGAGTTTCTGTTTGACGGGGTGGAGGGAGTAGTAGTAGGGGGGGGGGCCACTTCCGCGCCGCTCGTGCCTCGACTTGGGCCAACTGCGCTACCCAGAGATGGATGACGATTATGATTTGGACTGCGATTTTACCAAGGTGGCGGTGGCGCTTTATCGTTATGCACGGCAAAGTTGTTGTCGGACGTCCCTTCCGCTCTCGCTCGCTCCCTCGCTCCCTCGCTCCCCCCCCCGGTCACTAACTCTCTCTCTCTCTTTGTTTTCGCTCGCGCGAGACACCTCCCGTCTGTTTCTTTTCGTCAACTTTATAGACACAGCCAACGGCCTCTGCCTCACACAATTCTTGGAAATTAAAAAACATAGACGGCGACGTTGCTTTTGTAGTGTCTCGTGTGACAATGTCGTTCCCTCGTTGAGTGGCCATCGCATTGCGATATAATTTAATTTTGCGAGTTTATTATTTCTGTTTTTTTTTTTCATTGTATTTTCTCTATCTGGGAAACGAGCTTCATGGGATTCGATTTCGATATTCGGAATAAGCGTCGTTTGACGGCACGATAATTTATATTCGTATTAAATTAAATTTTAATATTTTATCGCACAGTCGTCTTTAATATCGGATGAAATTGTTCGAAATTTCGGAATGTTTAATTAATGTTTAAGTGCGCGTCTAAACAGCCCGAGCCAAATGTTACCAATAATTTAAATGACGATTGAGCAGGTACAGTGATGAAATAAGATTTTCAATTTTCAAATTGATGTTTTATCACGATATTGTAAATGTGACATTGACGCGTGAGAGAGGAAAAGTTAAATAGGTTTTCAGCTAATACGTACTAGTCTCGGATAAATGTTCCGTTAACATCCAAATGGTTTTTTTGCAAATACAAAATTTATAAACGTTAAGTTGAGCGGGCGCGCGCGCGCTCTCACGTATACGCGCGCAAACTTGTTATTTTTATTCTTATTGATATATTTCTGCAGGGGCTTACAAAACAATATCAATGATGGAAGACCCGCAAACTCCGGGCTCGGATTGCAATTCCAATCCAGCGAGTGATCCTCTGAATCTCGTTGGTTCGGAATTCATCCAAGATAATATGGAGTATCAATGGTTCATAGATTATAGGTAAGCTTTTGTCACGTATTTCTTTTGCTTACTACGATATACATAGCATTCGATACTTCATACTGATTGTCGTTCTTTATTATTATTTTTGCAACAAAGATACTACAAAGCACATTGCACAAGTTACAGAGATGGAGGGTTGCATGTGCATCCCAGCGTCTTGTCTTCTCTCTCAGCCTCTTATAATAAAGATGACTTGGGTTACTACGATGACCTGGCTCGCAATCTGGATGCCAATCTGGCAGAAGTGGACATGGAGAGTTTTAGAACTGCAGACATTCATACGCTGCTTACAGCATTGCCAGTCATGTGTACCGATCCAGTCCAACATTCCGAAGTAAGCTATCGTTCATAAGCGATACTTTAAAATCAATGCTATCGTTGATTAGAGAGCTGCATAAATATATATATTGGTTCCTTCCACCACCACCCACCCCCCCCACACACACACACACACACATACACACCCCACACCCCC